TCTTGTATCCTGCCACTTTGCTGAAGGTGTTTATCAGCTGTTGGAGTTCCCTGGTAGAGTTTTTCGGGTCACTTATGTAGACTATCATATCATCTGCAAATAGTGAGAGTTTGACTTCTTCCTTTCCTATTTGTATTCCCTTGATCTTTTGTTTGTTGCCTTATTGTTAGCTAGAACTTCAAGTACAGTATTGATGAGGTATGGAGACAGTGGTCAGCCTTGACTTGTACCTGATTGTAGAGGAATTGCATTTAGTTTCTCTCCATTTAATTTGATGTTGGCTGTTGGCTTGCTGCATATTGCTTTTATTATGTTGAGGTATGTTCCTGTTATCCCTGATTTCTCCAGGACCTTTATCATGAAGGGATGTTGGATTTTGTTTTTTTTTTTCCTCAGTCTGCTTATATGGTGGATTACATTGATGGATTTTCATATGTTGAAATTCTATATTTCAACATGGATATAGTCTCATGATGTTTCTATAGTAACAGAACAAAGAAAGTCATAAATCAAGACTTTTTCTAATATATTGTTAGGGAAATCTGTTATAGGCCTCAATGGAAGGAAGCTGGGGACCTGTTTGTACATTCCAACAAGATTTATTTTCCTCACAGTCTTAAGGATGCTAAGTCACACACAGAGGTGGGTAGCGCAAGTTAATTTGGTTCTGGACCTGAAATATTCTAACTCTCCATAATTACCGAAGTTCTAATCAGTCTTGTAGACTCTGTGTATTGGGCTTTTTTTCTGGGATCTTTAGTTAACACTGCTGATTTTACTCCTGGTGCTCATGGCCCATCTCCCTAGGGTGGAGAGACAGGACAAGTGCAGCCACAGTAAGGCATGGAGGTGCTTATATGAGCCTGTTAGGAAGTGGGCTAGTTACTGGAGGATGAGGTGTTGCTGGCCTTCCAAGGAAGGAGCAGTCAGCTCAGGAATTAGGCCTGTTATGGGAACAAAAGAGGGTGGGCAGAGCCATGAAAGGAGGGAGGGGCAAAGCTGGGGTTACTTCTGTGGAGCCTGCTAAATCTCCACAGGGCTTTAAGTAGGAGTAAGCCTGGGGGTTGGGCACCTAATGCAGCAGCTGCCGTCTTCTGGGACCAGGTCTCATCTGGAGACAGAGCCTGCGAGACTGGCATTGAGCAGGGCATACTGACTCAGAAACCTATGCTCCTATGGCTATTTGCCCTTAAAAGAAGAAGGGGTCCTGCACCATAGACTGCGAACCCTCAAACCTCAG